AGACCCCCCCCAAAAAAAGCCCCCCCCCCCCAAGGGCTCCATTACAGTTTTTTTCCTACACTCAGCTGCTCCCCCTCACCATAGGCCCTTTTTCAAGTTTTTTTTTGAGGAATCCATTGACATATTGTGATTTGGAACCCTTTCCCATACATCAACAACACCAACAATAATTATTTTTATCACACCAAACTTTGAGTGAGATGAAAATGGGTTCTAACATCAGTTTTTCTTTTTCAAAGATTTATAAAAAAAATAAAAAAAGCACTAGCTGGGAGTCGAACCCGATACCTTCCAATTGCCAGGCGTTTGCCTATCCACTAGACTAATGTGTCACACTGGTAATCTTCATGTATTTTTTCATATTGATACTTATTGTTGTAGATGTAGCAAAAGACGTATTCTAACTAATTCAGAGAGTCGCTTGTTAAAGAAAGAGTATCAAATGTTATTTTCTCCTTTGTTGAGGAGGTGGGGGGGGGGTGTCCCCTTTAAAAAAAGGAGATGGACACGTCAATATCATGGGGTAAGAAAAAAAAATAAAAAATAACATGAGGTATAAAGAAGAAGCTGGAGTCGAACCCGAGTACATACATACATTGCGTTGTGAAGCGATCAGTCTTATCCACAAGACCACTTTGCCTCACTGCTACTAACTGGTTCACTTCTTGGTCTTATAGCACTTTCTGCATGTTAACGACTTTAATATGTTGATTTACTGATTTAACGATTTCGGGATGCATAATTATTCATATTTTTGCAGTCCGATGTTGTCAAGATTGCCCGTAAATGTTTTCTTTCAGTTACTGATATTTCTGATATAATAGTGAGGTTTTATGTTATTTTCATTTATTTTGCAATCTGCTGACTTAAACTTCAAGTGATATGACAATAGGCCACTGCCCTGACATAGCATAATGAACAGAACACGGATCTATTCAATTTAGGATATGCTACGAATTCTGTAACAGGGCACCAATGAATAGGAAGCTTGGCTATTCGATTCTGTGTTCAATAGCTTGCACCTGCAGCATCAATTAATGAATTGAAGAAAAAAACCCGACCCTCCCTTCATTGACGGAATATTTTTGTCAATTGCGAGGATTACATAAGAGGTAATAATATCATTCCTGACATTGCAACAATGACCGCATTATGTTGATGTATTGTCCATAAAGGTACTGAGAAGGTCTTTCTCCTTGTCTGCATGGAGGACACGCACTTTGAATATCCCCATAGAAAAAGGATAGAATGGGCTGTAGTCTCATTTAAAAAAGGAAAGCGATTTCGGGACAGTTCAAAATAATGCTGGGAAATGGAAATTAAAATGATACCGTTTTAAAAACCAGTTAGATATGGTTTTTGGACAAGAAGCATGAGATAATTCATTGCTCGGCAATCTGGACTGTATTTGAAACAGAGCATCCAATATTCCTGATATTTAATATATACTGTCAATGAAAAAATATAACTAAAAAAAAATAATAATGGACCTCTTTACCCAAGGCTGTGTGTCTTTGTCGAGCACAAAATGATTCTGCTCGGGTATGCAGGCCAGTTGTTAGCCCATATTGGGCTTGAATAGACTTGAATTGAAAGACCCTTTGTTTCACCTCGCGAAGTTTGGCGCTTTCATATGAGGAGTAAAACCTTGCCCATCATTGAATTCATGTTGTAAAGTTGTTTACAGACTGGAAAAGGATAGCATGGGAGTGTACAGATTGAATAAATGGATGTAAGTAGTACTGAAAATGTAAAAAACTTGTTTAACCTGGCAATAAGGGACTCTTGAATGTAGTTTAAAAATTGGACATGGCTTTGGGGCTAACGCTACCGGCCACCGCTACGCTGACGACCGCCGGCTACGCTGACGACCGCCGGCTACGCTGACGACCGCCGGCTACGCTGACGACCGCCGCTACCTGACGACCGCCAGCTAAAAAAAAGACCCCCCCAAAAAAAAGACCCCCCCCCCCAAAAAAAGACCCCCCCCCCAAAAAGACCCCCCCCCCAAAAAAAAAGACCCCCCACAAAAAAAGACCCCCCCCCCTAAAAAAGACCCCCCCCCCCCCCCAAAGGGGCTCCATTACAGTTTTTTCCTACACTCAGCTGCTCCCCCTCACCATAGGCCCTTTTTCAAGTTTTTTTTTGAGGAATCCATTGACATATTGTGATTTGGAACCCTTTCCCATACATCAACAACACCAACAATAATTATTTTTATCACACCAAACTTTGAGTGAGATGAAAATGGGTTCTAACATCAGTTTTTCTTTTTCAAAGATTTATAAAAAAAATTAAAAAAAGCACTAGCTGGGAGTCGAACCCGATACCTTCCAATTGCCAGGCGTTTGCCTATCCACTAGACTAATGTGTCACACTGGTAATTTCATGTATTTTTTCATATTGATACTTATTGTTGTAGATGTAGCAAAAGACGTATTCTAACTAATTCAGAGAGTCGCTTGTTAAAGAAAGAGTATCAAATGTTATTTTCTCCTTTGTTGAGGAGGTGGGGGGGGGGTGTCCCCTTTAAAAAAGGAGATGGACACGTCAATATCATGGGGTAAAGAAAAAAAATGAAAAAATAACATGAGGTAAAAGAAGAAGCTGGGAGTCGAACCCGAGTACATACATACATTGCGTTGTGAAGCGATCAGTCTTATCCACAAGACCACTTTGCCTCACTGCTACTACTGGTTCACTTCTTGGTCTTATAGCACTTTCTGCATGTTAACGACTTTAATATGTTGATTTACTGATTTAACGATTTCGGGATGCATAATTATTCATATTTTTGCAGTCCGATGTTGTCAAGATTGCCCGTAAATGTTTTCTTTCAGTTACTGATATTTCTGATATAATAGTGAGGTTTTATGTTATTTTCATTTATTTTGCAATCTGCTGACTTAAACTTCAAGTGATATGACAATAGGCCACTGCCCTGACATAGCATAATGAACAGAACACGGATCTATTCAATTTAGGATATGCTACGAATTCTGTAACAGGGCACCAATGAATAGGGAAGCTTGGCTATTCGATTCTGTGTTCAATAGCTTGCACCTGCAGCATCAATTAATGAATTGAAGAAAAAACCCGACCCTCCCTTCATTGACGGAATATTTTTGTCAATTGCGAGGATTACATAAGAGGTAATAATAGCATTCCTGACATTGCAACAATGACCGCATTATGTTGATGTATTGTCCATAAAGGTACTGAGAAGGTCTTTCTCCTTGTCTGCATGGAGGACACGCACTTTGAATATCCCCATAGAAAAGGATAGAATGGGGCTGTAGTCTCATTTAAAAAAGGAAAGCGATTTCGGGACAGTTCAAAATAATGCTGGGAAATGGAAATTAAAATGATACCGTTTTAAAAACCAGTTAGATATGGTTTTTGGACAAGAAGCATGAGATAATTCATTGCTCGGCAATCTGGACTGTATTTGAAACAGAGCATCCAATATTCCTGATATTTAATAGTATACTGTCAATGAAAAAATATAACTAAAAAAAATAATAATAATGGACCTCTTTACCCAAGGCTGTGTGTCTTTGTCGAGCACAAAATGATTCTGCTCGGGTATGCAGGCCAGTTGTTAGCCCATATTGGGCTTGAATAGACTTGAATTGAAAGACCCTTTGTTTCACCTCGCGAAGTTTGGGCGTTTTCATATGAGGAGTAAAACTTGCCCATCATTGAATTCATGTTGTAAAGTTGTTTACAGACTGGAAAAGGATAGCATGGGAGTGTACAGATTGAATAAATGGATGTAAGTAGTACTGAAAATGTAAAAACTTGTTTACCTGGCAATAAGGGACTCTTGAATGTAGTTTGAAAATTGGACATGGCTTTGGGGCTAACGCTACCGCCACCGCTACGCTGACGACCGCCGCTACGCTGACGACCGCCGGCTACGCTGACGACCGCCGCTAGCTGACGACCGCCGGCTACGCTGACGACCGCCGCTACCTGACGACCGCCAGCTAAAAAAGACCCCCCCCAAAAAAAAGACCCCCCCCAAAAAAAAAGACCCCCCCCCCAAAAAAAGACCCCCCCAAAAAAAAGACCCCCCACAAAAAAAAGACCCCCCCCCCCATAAAAAGACCCCCC